GGAGCTGAAATTGGGAAGTAACTGGAAAAAAGTTGATTCCCACTTCTGAAAGGACAGGGAATAGGTTATTGTCCTAGTGCAACTGCTACCAGCCGTGCCTGTGGAGGGGAAATGAGTCAGGCACCTGTGCAGGTAGGGAGTCCTGATCAGAGAGCTTCTCTCAGCTGGTGGAGAACACATGCCCCCACAGTGAGGTGGCCCAGCAGTACTCGGATTAGGCTGAATCCTTCTTTGCTCCCCCTCATTGGCTTTTAGTTGGTCTGCCTGGCACTCTTTCACATTTGGGCTTTTCCTGCCTTTTGAAAAGGCAGGTGTACTGTCTGGATCTGTGGGTGTCTCCCTCTGCCACCTTTTCACTCTTACCCTCCTGTTGTCGTCCACAGGGTGCCTGCCAAGGGTTGGCTTTCCTTTTCCACACCCACTGGTCCTGCCTTCTGCCTCTGCCCCTGTCAGCCCAGCATGTCTTCTTGCCTGTTGTAGGATGATTGGCCCCTTGACTTCCAGGGTGTCCATCACATTCGAGAGCTGTTAGGCTTTTTGGAGACAGGATAGTTTTAAAAAAAAGCTGTTAGGCTTTTTTTACTATGTCTGCCTCTGGAAGGTTCTAGATTCACACTGCAGCTCAAAATTAGGCTTTTTTCATTCAGAGGAGTCACACAGGCTGATGTGTTCACGCCATGTGTAGTGAAGGGAGCCATGTAGCGTGGCTGAAGCCCATGGTGGGTTAGGGGAGACCTCTCCCCACAGAAAAGGAGTTTTTTGGTGTAATGCTTTCGGTGGTTTAGTTGATAACGTTGAGGCACTACAGGAATGCAGTTAGTTGAGATGATCAGGGAATTGCTGTGAGTTAGTTTAGATGCAGCCTCAATTCATCTGAAGACGGGGCCAGTCTCGCTGGGGAAAAGCCTGCGAGCGTTGCACCGGTTTATCGAAGGTGTTTGCAGCAGCCGTGCTGGAGGCCAGCCTGCTGCCGAGGAGAGCCCCAGCTAGGCACCAACAACCTCGAGTTTGCAGCGTGAGGTCTTTGCGGAACTGCCGCTGACCAGAAAGCAGCACTGCTGTTATCTCCTTAGCCTAGGCTGAAGGGAAACTGCTCCCTTCCAGAGGGATGCAGAACCGAGGTGGGCTGCGGCTTTGCGTTGCTGCTTCCTTCGCACGCGTCATCGCTGCCCTCTAGTGCCCGTGTCCCGCCAAGGGCACTGCTGCTGCCTGCCTGAAACGGGCTGTGCCTGGTAAGCACCCCAGAGCCCTCACCGCTTCCTCTGGCAAAGCAGATAGCCCAGCAAGCTGTCTGCCCTGCCTAACCGGGGAGAAATAGCCTCTTGCTTTTAAAGGCAGAGGCTAGTGGGCAGGGATGTTGTTCTGCTGCATCCGCTTTGCGTCTGCGTCTTGGATGTGCCTGGTGATGCTCCCGAGTTAACGATGAATGCCTTCCTTCCCTGCACACCTGCGCGTGCAGCACACCCCCACCAGCTCTAGCATGGCTGAGAACTCCCTGAGCAGCTGCAGGGTCATGGCATCCCTTCAGGAGAATTTTGAGGTCCAGTTTCCATGATTTAATGAGATAACAGAAGGATTTGACTAGAAAAATGGCTGGGGCGTGGGGTAAAGCAGGGCATGCAAAACAATGCGGTGGCTCGTATTCCTGTTTGCAGAGGTTGGGATGAGGAATGGTCTAAGGCTCCCAAGAACGTGGGACAAGTAACTGGGGAAAGTGGCTGGCCTCCAGAGAAGAGGCTGATGAGGCTCTAGTATTGAAAGAGCCTGGAGTTATCATAAGGGTAACAATAAGGTTTACCAATTACTGCACTTTAAAATCTGTAGACAGAAAATGCTATATTCAAAGAATCATAGTGTTATTTTTCTGTGATTTACTGGTTTAGTAAGGCTATTACATGTACTTTCACTCGTTTGAAACCCTTCCATCTGATGCCTGGTTGTTAGAAGGTGGTACTTGTGCTATTGAGCTTTAAATGGAGGGGAGTTAGCCAGAAAGACAGTGCCTGCACAGTGATAGGTGGGTGGGGGGAGAAAACAGTTCCTTTCCTTTCTCTGGAGGGCACAACCTACCAAACCACAATAAAAAGGGTGCAAGTAAAATTCCAAACCTGGTCACACCATACTGATTAAGGAAAAAAGTTATAGGACTAATTAAAAAGAGAACAAACTCTCCAAGCAGACCAGAATTTGATTGGATTAAAAAAAGTGTATTGGATGTCCAATACAAAATAATAAACATGAAGTTATTAAAAAAAGCCATAGAGTATACAGCAAATACTACAGAAAAGCAAAAAAATTGTACAGAAAGGTAGACGTCTACAGCAGTCCTCAAAATTATTCTACATGAGAATCATAAAACAATATACAGGTTTGGTTTTTTCCCCAAATGTCTCTGAGGGAAGCTGTCACTTAACAGCTTGACTATGACACTACAAGGATACACAATGTTCCAAATTTAAAATCACAGGATATGTAAGAAAATGTAGCATTAAAATGTGAAAAAGTGCAATACAGATTGTACACTGAATTGAATAAATGTTTTTTCTTTTTTTTCTAGTTTAACCTTAAAAAAACAACTTTGAACAGTTGTTTTATCATTAAAAATATTCCCCCTCCCCAAATTCAATGACAATATTAACATTCATGGTGTTATACATCAGTAATATTCACAAAGACCCACCAGCTAAGAATACTGTGTGTGTAGGATGATATTTCTTTGGGTATAGGTAACAAATAGGCAAAGGAAAAGATGCACCCCTCTCCCTTCAGGACAGGGCATGGGTATTTTATGATGTAAGGATGTATTCTGTAGGTTATTTTGCCCTGAATTGTATTGATTAAAAGTCCAAACATCAATTATCCAGGTGGCCCACGGTGCTCCAATTCATTTGACTCCCTCCCTCCCCCCCCAAATAATAAATAAACCCAGGAAGTGTCCTAGAAATGGCAACAGAAGGGAGTCCAGGAAAAGAAAGGAAGTAAAACTACGCCCCAAACCCCTGCTGCTCTCCAGGGTGATTCACTGGCTCTCCCTTCTCTTAGGGACAGGGACTGTGAAAGTGTGCCCAGAGCTTTACCTTTACTCACATGGGGGGAAAAATAATTAAGCCAAGTTCTTGTGGGTTTTTTTTTTTTTTTTTTAAATTTAAGCAGATTACGGAATTTCCTCTTAACATTCCGACAGGTACGGCTACCTAGCAGAGGCCCTGCTGACTACAGCAGCACTGCCCCGCGCCTGAAATGCCTGTTACCTGCACCTCCTCCATCGCTGACCCTCCGAGATCACAAAGCCCACCGCTCTGGAGGAACATGTTTGAGTCACCAGTAAGTTTTCTGTTTTCTTTCATCTTAAAAGTAAACTGCATGTGAGTTTGGTAGGCAGCTGGGTAGTGTTGTTTTCTCTGTTACTAAAAGATAGTCCCTCTGTTTATGCCATTCCTCCTCAGAGTAGGGCAGAGCCAGGAAACCACGCCAGGAGAAACAAAGAGCCTTCTCCTTCCCCCCACAGAGGAGTTCCCTTTTAACTTTCCTTCCTTTCTAGACAGATAGGTGAACAGCACCTGAGTCCTTAATACTGTTTTTCATTTCAAATGGTTTCAAAAGTGTAAAAAAATACATTTTTGCCTTGCTTATGTCTCTGAAGAATCCTAGAGAGAAGGATTCTTGTTTCAATGGCCTGGAATAGAGCAATTGCACTGGGGTTGGACTTGCTGCTGACGGATCCTGTGGCCATGTAGTGTTCTCCAAAGTATGCTATGGTGTGTTGCTGATGAGAAGAGGTCCACAGTTCTCTGGTTCTGGGAGGTCCGGGCAGCTCTGACCTCAGCACCACCAGCAGAGAAGTGTTGTGCGCGGCTGCCCGTGCTCGGTTCGCCAAGCTCAACGAGCGCTCGGTCTGCACCTTAAACTTGCAGGCTGCCATCTTTAAACTAACAACAAAAGAGAGCGCTGTTGCCCAAGCAAGCTGTAGTGTCATCTAAACGTAAGGAACCCTACTTTACAGGAGGAATTTAGCAAAAAAAAGTTTCTAAATGAGACTCACTGCAATTCAGTAACCAGAGACACGGTATGCTGAAGTTACAAGGAAGGACATTACAGAAGATGATGCTTTCTTTTTCTTCAGTCTTTCGAGTCAACGTAGAAAGACAGGAAAACAACAATAATGAAACCTCCCACTGGATTCCCTCCCCTTCCCCATCTACTTTTCCCCACTCAAAATATTGAAACTGCACAAAAAGCGACAAACAAGCCTTTCAAATTACATTTCAATTCAAACAGACTGGTAATCTCACAGTGATGAAAGAGGAAAGTCAGGCTTTTAATAATTATAATATAAAAATAATAAAAAAAGCTTACAAAGAGCAGTGCAGCATCCCAAAAGGCCATGGATTAACTGCCAGAAGGGGACGTAATTATACGCAGAATAAAAAACAAAACAGAACAACCCACGCTGGCAATGAATTTTCATACACAATAGAACAAGCAGTCAAACGTCAGTCTAGGCTGTGAAAAACAACAGTTTCTCCTTTTTTTTTTTTTGATTACAATATTTTTTCCTTTTTATAAAAAAAGATAAAATAAAAACACAAAATTGTACATAAATGCGAATGTCCAACACTGAAAAGGCAGGGCAATCACACCACTGAGACAAAACCTGACCAGAAAAAAAAAATACGTGAATTCCACTTTTCTTTCCTTTTGTCTGGATGCTGGATTTCAGCCTGATGCGTCCCACCCTGCATGGTCTCGGCAGGTAAATGGAATTCAGCTTGGCAATGAAGTCATTGCAGGACGATGCCAGGAAAGGTCATCTCTCTTTGACCAGCTGTAGCACAAACGCGCTGGCTGGTTTGTTTGCTTTCTGTGGATGCTCTCATGTGCTGTCCCCTCTTTCTGGATTTTTTTTTTTTTTTTTCTTCCCCTCTGTACAATTCCTTGTGTTCCAAGGCTGAGTCTGAAGACTTGTGAAACTGTTTGGAGCCGTGTCCTGGTGAAGGTGGTCATGCTGTAGTGATGGCATTAAGGTCCTTCATAAGTCCTTCCAGGTGGGCCATCTCTTTGGTCAGCTCATCTGGTTCATAATTCTGTGGGAGATGTAAAATGTTATTGGCAAGGTGACTTGGTTTCTTTAAAGAGAGACAGACTAAGACACGGACAAAGTGGTCAGTGATTCTGGCACAGACTGAATACATGAATAAGCAGAAGCATCGACAGTTACAGGAATTAATAGCTTGAAACAACGCGCTATTTTAAGTGCAGATCTCTTTGCAATAGTGACTCATAGTTTCTCTGATTTTTAAGACTGTGATCGTCTTATCTGTTTTCCTTGTATCAACTTCAAGATAACAACTTCTTTTGAACCAAAGTGGGTATTTTGGACAAATCTTCCCAGCTTAACTGGAAAAAAAGGTCAGAGGAATCGCATCAATAAAACTGTTAGGAGAATCGTTGTGCTTGTTATAAATTATACTCCATTTTCAGCCTCAACGGTCTAGCTTTATCCGTAGGACATTGGTAACAGAATTATGATAGTTGTTTGTGTATGTAGATAGCTTATGGTTTCTATTTAAACTCAAAATCTTTTCTAAGCTGGCCAGTTCTTTCCCAATACTATGTAGTTTTCAACCCCTTGTGTTCTCGGAGCGTTTCCTCAAACCCTCTTCACCCCCTCAACATGGCTGCACGTGGTATTCCAATGCCAGCTCTGCCAGTGCCAAGTCCGAAGCAACAGAACTCCCGTTTGATAGTTTCTGCTCTGTATGTTTACGGTCCATGATGAGACCTTCTGGCTAGAGTCTGATATTAAAGCTACCGCTCAGCTGACTGCGTACCATACAACTGGAGTCCTTCCCAGAGCGAGGCCCTCAGCTCTGTGATCTCACTTCTTTTGCTTCTAGATACAAACATTTTCTTTCATTTACATAGAAATGAATGCAGCTGACTATTGACAACATTAAATAGCAGTGAGCAGGGAGTACTCAGACTCATTCCTACAGGGTCTCATAAAAAACCAGAACATAATAGCTACATAATCCTAATTTTTTAAACTCCTAATTTAACTAGTATTTAGTGTACTAATGGTGACTTTATACTGGACTGATTTATTAATGAAGGTATTTATTAATGGCTATATTTAAATATTACAAATCTGTTGATGAATACTAATGAGTATATTTTTCATACCAACCAAAAAGAAGAATAAAGTAGGAGTGACAACTAGACAGAAAGGCAAAAGTGCACTAAATCAAGCATGCGTACAGTTTCTAGACCAGCGCATACAGAAATAAAATCAAGAGGGTGACAAAAGAAAGGGACAACAAGGAAACAAGATATAAAAGAAAAATTAATTCAAAATAAGCATTTCCTGCAGCAGCAATATAAAAGCTAATGCAATAACTTCTTGGCTTGCAATCTCAAAGGAAAACAGCTCTTCCAGGTCCTGACACCCAAACCATCCTCACCTCTTAAAAGCTATTTGCAAAGAAGCCCAACAGTTGCATTTTTCCCAGGAAGTCGGAACACTTTCCTGTGAGTATCTAAAAACATATTTGGGATGATGGCTTTAAACATTCTGGCACTAATGTTAAGTTTCCCATCTGCAGTGACACTTTGGATGCTCTGCAGCAGCTCAGGAAGCTGCAGCTGCATGACTTAACAGGATCTGGGTGCTTGCAAACCAGACAGAAATAAATGACATCTCAGAGCGAGCACAAGCACATCTCAAGCTGTACAGAAGAGCAAACGGCACTGTTGGAGGCCTTCAGCTCTGTGAACAAAGGCCCTCTTTCCATCCAGACAAGCAGGCAACAAACAGATGTGCGGGGCACTTCCAGAGCTCCAGTCTGGTCGCCAGCATATAGAAGCCTCAGTCATAACCCAAAGCTCCATCAGGTGCTCCGTACTGTAACGAATGAAAAGACTGTTGCTGTAGGTGGTATCTGTCTTTACTCTCCTCTTGGAATTGTGATAGGCTAGCAGAAACCAAAATTGGTGTCGAGCATCAGTCAGGAAACAAAATCTCAGAGAGCATTACTCTCTGTTCAGCTAACAGCCTCAGTTCAGCCAAAATGTCCAAGGATTCTCAGTTTTTGACCGAGTGGGCCTTGTGGACAGGAACAGATGGAAGCCCAGCATATGTTCAGTGCTGTGTCATTAGGAATGAAGGTTGCTCTTAAGTAATTTTCTGATGTAGAAAGCACTACTAGCACTTGCAATTTAATTCTCTAACTTAAATTCCTCGTGCAGAAGATATTTGCACTAGATTTTCTCACTAGGTTTGCACTTGGGCAAAGTCAGAAGCCCCATTATCCTCTGCCTTCGAAAGTCTGAGTGCAGACATGACTAAAGTTTACAAGTACCGTATAGAGAGACATTCACCACAGCTGGATAAGCACTGCCAAAGAAAGCCACTGGCAGTGTCAGAGTACCTACGCTTTCCGAGTCCTCAAGCATCCTGGTGGTCTCCTGCACGTCAGGGGCACTGGGAACTACCACGGGCATAGGAGGTCGAGTTCTTCCTAAAGTCCCAATTGACGCCGTCTTCACCGAGTGAACTGGATGGTTAGGAGCTTAAAATAAATTGTTATATAGTTATGCCTCAGTTAATTAGTTCTTTTGCCTATTCAGAAAGCTCTTGAAAGTAGGAGAATAAAAAGGATTCTACTAGAGGAAAGTGAACACTTCAAATTATGGAATGCTGAATTTGAATTTTTGTCCCGTTTATCTACGTACATAAAAGAAAAGGGCCTTGAAAATTACACCAACAAAATTCACTCCAGCCTCTGGCATATTTCCATTGATGCCCAAGTCTAGTCCCTGCCCCTTAAGGAGCTGCTTAAGATTTTGTTTCTCCTCGCTCTCTTTTTGGCAAGTGTGCCTTGCCAGTTCTGCCCTGCTCACCTTGCTGCGTCAGTAGGGGTGTGCTGGGCAACGTAGGATCGTACACGGAGCCGGCCGGTGGGACCGCTGGCACCGCAAAGCTCTTCAGCGGGTGGGAAGGACGGACGTGTGCCGTAGGGAGGTTCTGAGCCGAATCCTCCTCTTGTGCTGTAGGCAGGTAAGGCCCGGCGGTGCTTTCAGGATCCTGATGGTCAGCACACGTCTGAGACGAGGAAGCTGGCATGGTGTCCGTGCTCGGTGTGTTTCGAACAGATTCTACAACAGAAAACAAAACAAGTGGTTTATTTTCTTTAACAGGAGCATTCTCTGTGGTCAGATGGAAACAAAACGTTTGCAAGCACCTTTTCCAAGATTGCTGTTACAAGCTAAGAAGTGAATTCACAGATGCACTGTGTAGCAAATAACATCAAGTTTGTGTAACTGTCCTGTTTTAAGGCTGAATGGCAACAGCTGTCTAATAACAAAATAAGCTTGGGAACTGCATGATTCCACCACGCCAACAGTCTTGCACTGAAACAGCTACATGTAAGACGACCTCAGATAAACAGCATGGAACACATCTTCATCCTTATTTGGCCCCTGAGTGGCAGTACAGGCACTCTCAAACAGGTGTACGTTATGTGTATGTTGCTGTCATGCATTCAGAGAACTTTGTTCCTGAGATAAACTTGAAACCCCTTTATACTTGCTGAAAGCTAAAATAAAATCACAGGCTTCATTTATTAGTCTGTAGCAGGCTCCACCCTGATGTAGGAGAACAATGAGATGGTATCCTGAATTTAGGGCTTTGTGATCCTACTCGGACCACATGCAGGAAATGATCTGGATTGTGAGAGCTGTCACTTCAGCAGTATAAACAGACTGCCTCTAACATACCGTCTGCCCCTGTATTTGCAGCCTCATGAATTGTTTTCATAAAGAGACAACGCTGGCACCTTAATTCTGATGTAAACCTTAAACTAGGGAAGCTCACACCTTACTTCATCTCCAGATGTTATCTACGTGCAATTCAGCAATACTGTTGCTTCAGAATTTTTCAGAGCACTGGAGGCGTTACAAAAACTACCGCAAATGATTGTGCCTCAAGTTTGAAAATGAAATCACTGCAATTTTCTGTGTACTTCAGGAAGATGAACTAATGTCGGCTCTCAGTCGTGAGGTCTGGACTTTCATCCTCTCTTGGTTTTAAACACAACTAATTAGGAAAAAAGTTATCGTATTATGTAGCTCAAATTAGATTTAATCTGATGTTTCAGACTCCAGGGCTGAAGGCTTCAGAATAAGCAATCTTACAGAATCACAGACTGGTTTGGGGTGGAAAGGACCTTAAAGACCATCCAGTTCCAACCCCCCTGCCATGGGCAGGGACACCTTCCCCTAGACCAGGTTGCTCCAAGCCTCATCCAGCCTGGCCTTGGACACTTCCAGGGATGGGGCACCCACAGCTTCTCTGGGCAACCTGTCCCAGTGCCTCACCACTTCCTACTGGACATTGTGTATGCAACATGAAGGCTCCTTTTCCAAGGACATCATCATGTTCCTCAGGGATCAATATCTGATCTACACAAGCAACTGTTTACAGGAAACTCAACCTGTCAAGGATTTTGTCTGTACTTCAGCCCATCACTCTGCCCTTCACGGACCACCACAATGGAGACCAATGAGTTAAGTTTCAGGCTTTGATTTCCACACATTTCAGTCATTGTTCCACCACAAGCAAAATCTAACTGGTCATTTATCTCTCACCTGTGGAATTGGCCCTGTCTGAATGGGACATGGATGTGCCAATCGGCCACGGGTTGACCTGGTGATGGAGATAGCTGCGAGTTGGAGAAGCGAGGCTGCCGGAGTGGAAATGATGGTGAGGGTTATCGAGTGAATGGATGGGATGAGCACTAATCACAGCTGTGAATGAACACAAGACAGAAAAATGCTTACCATACAGACAAGCATGCACATGTACTGAAATGCACCATATCCCTCCCTTCTCCCACAGAGCCACTCAACAGGGGAGCCAACTGCTCAGCAGATTTACAATGACACCAAGATGATATTTTAAAACCAATTTTCCGACTCTGTTCCAGCACTTGATCTCCCTCTACAACAAAACAGAAAACCCCCAAAAGAGGTGGAGCTCTTCATTTTCCTGTGCAGAAAGTGCATTTCTTGCATCTTTCAAGTACTTTCTGTTACACTTGAGAAAAACGAAGTTCAGCTCCCTTTAGAATTCCCATGTATTTCATGCTGTGCTATAAATGTCAGACCTAATACAGGAAAGATGTGAGCTCAGATTCCAAAAGAATTTCTGGCTGCCATTAAATTTCTTAACATTGTAGCCAAATGTGGCATCTTTGGTTAATTAAATAACGCAAGACAAATGATAAGAGTAGGACGAGGCACCAAAGGCTCCATCCATTCCCTCTGTGCAGACAGTACTAAGCTCTGCTACAGTACACCCAAACCAAAATCCTCTTCCTACTCCCCCCCCTTTAATCTTGCTGTTTTCTTTTTCCTGCTTCCGAGACATGCATTTTAGACTTAATGTAAATCATCCTTTGCCCTCACTCTTTTGTGGTAACAACAAAACAAACTCTCACAGCTCCCCAGCTGGGAGGAAAAGCATGCGCAGAATTTAGTTCTTATGTCAGGCTAAAATACTGAATTGCTTAAAATCATCCAAAAGAAAGAGACTCAACACAGAAAACAGAAGGGAAATGCTACCACTAGCACCATAAAGAAAAAAAAAAAAAGGCTGTGGTTGGTTGGTTATTTCCTTTTGAACCTTTACTGGAAATTCTCCAGATGTGCTGGAGAATTTCAAATCATCACTTTTGCTCAAATCATCACTAACTGGTTGGGAAACACACAGACAGAAATAACAAACCAGACATCCCCCTCATTTAAGAGTCTGCTCTGCCAGACTTGCAAAACCTCAGCCCCCATTGGTGGTCTATCCCTGTTCTAATAAACTAGTGTAACAGACACATTGTGGGGCAAAGCTGCCGCACGTATTGTGGGCTTTTGGTACCCTTTTCAACAGGTGAGCAGTGCTACTCCTTCAGAGCCACCTCCTCTCAGTACATCAGGGGACCAGCCCAGACGCGGGGATGTCTTGCACTGAGACATGTGGTGATCCACTGCCCCAGCTCTCCAATTCTCTCCTACTGCATGAGCAGCTGACTTGTTTCAGAAGCTGCTCCTAAGTCACTGCCGCATTTTAGCATAAATCCGTACTGATTTTGGTTTGCCATATGAGGGTGGACTGTAAACCACAGCTGGTCAAGAAGTGTCCACAGACAGTGGACACCATGCAATGGGGACAGCAGATATATTAAAATTTAGGTGTAAGAGTAGTAAGATCACTGCAGATAGGAGCATAGTTATTTAGATAAGAGTAAGCATGACTCCTGTAGAAGAAAATCCTGCTTCACTAACCTCAGAGTTTGAAAATATAGCTGTATTTACTGTCTTCAAAAAAGCTCTGCCAAGGGTCCACACTGAAGTTAAAAACGTAAGTTACTGTTGGAGGGAAAGCTCTTTTATGGACTGAAAGGAAGAGGCAAAGGGAAGGGCTTGATGATTATCCTTGATTTCAAGACAGAGGATAGTCATCATGAGATTCCCCAGGTATCAGTTGCAGGGAGTGGTTTTAATCAATTATCTTCCTCAGTGACCCAGACATGGAAGCAATCAGAGAAATATTTGTCAATAGTACTGAGGTCTTTGGGGTAGTCAAATGCTATTTTGATGGCAAGGAACTCCAGAAGGACCTCTCAAGACTGAGCGAGGCAAACCTTCGCATCGCTTCAAGGCACAGTAACACACCAGGGGCAAACTAACCCAAACAGCACCGACACGCCACCGCACTCAGAGCTGGCAGTCACAGCTCAGCAAAGAGTTTTTGGAGACATGGTATCTCTGATATCATTAGCTCAAAAAGCCAACTAAATGGCTTTTCATCAAGGAAGGTACGGAGAACAAGGCAGAGGACATGGTTTCCTGCTATGTAAGACCTTGGTGCTACTGTGTGCAGCTCCGGCCTCTCTGCCTCTCAAGGTTCTGAGAATGGCAAGTAAAGTGATAAAAGGGATGGCGTAGCTCCCTCATGAGGGGAGGTAAAATGGCTATGACTGGTCTGAGGAGAAGAAATCCAACAGTGGAGAAGAACCTGACAGAGATTTACCAACCCTCTACAATTCCTATGTAACAGCTGGATACTGGCAGAGTACAAAGGGAATGGACTATAAAAAGCAGCCAGGCTTATAGGCTCTCTCTAAAAAGCACCTGCAGTTGCCACTGCTGGAGACTGGGACAGACAGACTGTTGGACACGCTCCTCGCTCCTCCCCACTTCTGCAGCATGCTTCCCACTCGCTCCAACACAGCTATCTGGTTTTGCATTTTAACTGGACCTGACTCTGCCCTCACAATAAGGGATTCAGGATACCGTCTCTGAACTGCTGCCACTGCAGATACGACAGAATTACTTGGGAGAAGTAAGGAGGAAGGCGGTATGTGTGTTTGCCTGTGCACAGGTAGCAACGTGGCTTGTTTGGGTGCTCCCCGTTTCAAGCCAGCTGGTGGGTGGGCTGTTGACTTACGCTGAGGTGGCTGAGAATCAAAAGGCATCATCATCTTGGGCCTCATCCCCCTTCTTCCTGCCAGTGTGGACATGCTATCCTCGGACTCATGTCCTGAAGGAAAAATACTGAAGGTTATTTACCGTTATAGTAAGACTTCTGTGATACCATACCAGCTGATTTCAATCCTCCTCCCTTTATTTCTGGGCTGTCCTGTTTGTAAGCAGTTCTGTGACTCATAATTGATAAAACCAGCTCTTTCATCCTTCACTAAAAGGTGAAAAAAAGGACAGTTAGGGTAAAGATTATTGCGCACTGGAGAAACTCTCCAGGCCATAATGCAAACACAAGTCTCTGGCAGAGCAGCTGTGGGCAATGAGGGGCAGTACAGAGTCAGACGTGGGGGTACGACGTGGTAGATTAACAAGTTAACTGCCCACCGAGTGAACACTCACCCCCACCTCAAGAGCTGAGCGATAGCTGGGTAAAGCACCAGGATCTGATTGTGTGTTTGACCGCTGAAATGTCACACACATCTCAACGTTTTAATACGACACACTTGTTAGATGATCTGACTACTCATCAGTATTTACCACGGGAAATTCATGATTTAAATCCTGGGCACTCAACTGCCTCACTAAAACATGCGGTACATCCTTTTCAGAGTCTTATAAACCAGGCACGAAACCAACTCACTACTTGGAAAATAAGAACAAAACCCAGTAAGGGTAACTGAATAATACGGCAATAAAGTGATTTCTCCAGATACCGTAAAATGTATGTTATTTTAAACATCATGGTCAAAGTATTTGCTGATAGCTCACCTCTGTAGGAATTCCGCCTTTGATGGATGTTGCTGTCCATGGAATTATCAACTGGGGTGATGTCTTGGGAGTTGCGAGGGATTGGGGTATCTGTCATGATTGGATTGGGATCTGGAGATTTATCGATGGGTTTGAGCTCCAGCCTTTCATGATGGATCCAGAGGTCAGGAGGCTTGACATCTTTGGAGTTTCCTTTGTACTTATGGGACCCATTCACTGATTTGCAGGCAGCTCGTTTCCTTGGGAAGGAAAACAAATGTAATGTTTTTAGATTTCTTTTCTTAGTTTTTTTTAGGTTTCTTTTCACTTGTTGAAAAAGGCAAATTTTCACTGAGATTTCCTTCAGATCTTGTATCCAGCTGAGCAAAAGCTACCCACTGGGCAGGAAGCTCTGAATTTTACATACAAGCACATCTGACACCTCAAAGCGTATTCTGCAACTCTGGTGCCATGAAATTTGTCTCAAATGCTACCACATGCTGCAGAACTGTGCTCTACAGTCTAAGCTTTCATTAACAAAAATTAAGTTTCCAGTACTTATGGCTATTAAGAGAATATTGTAAACACAAAGTGTATGTACATCATGCTGTGTCTGTACTCCAGGGCTTACAAACAACCTCCGACAACAGCTGTAGAAGGAACGTGGAAATAGCCAATTATGCCAATAGGATGGTTAACACCAAAGATTAATGAGGAGAATATTCACTTTACCACTGCTCAGGTTAGACACATCTAACCAACGTGCTCTTTCCTCGCTGGTGAATAGCAGCAGCAGCAGCAGCAAGCTGATCGCGAGGCAGACATTTGACATGATGGAATTTCAGAAAAGTGAAACGTATAGTTCCAGCACTGCCCTCCACACACACTCCTCGCCCTGCTGGTCACGCTGCTCTGGATACAGCCCAGGATACGGTTGGCTTTCTGGGCTGCCAGCGCACACAGCCGGCTCATGTCCAGCTTTTCATCCCCCAGTACCCCAAGTCCTTCCCCTCAGGGCTGCTCTCAGTAATGAGACATTAGCTCTCAGATGACCATGTAAACTGCTGGCAAGACATTCACCAGAAAATGCTGCCAGTACCGCGGACACACAGAGCTGATTTTAAAAGGGAAAAGCCAGATAATCCCAGTATTTTAAACAATTTCTCCTCAGAGAGGGTCAAGTGCATAAAGCATTGCCCCAGTTTGCCTGTAAACTCCTGATGGTTTGTAAGCTCTGAAACACTAGAACGTCATCATCACACACGTGATAACTCAGCTGTATTGAGGCGTTATCTTCTGACACAAGAATCCAAACTGCACTACTCATCTGTTGTCAGAACAAAATTTCTACAGCCCACAAGTAATAAACTCCAAAGCATCAATAAAGAAAAGATTAAATATGTGATAAAGGTAGAACAGGGCAAAGTGCCACCCGCAGACCTTACTTTTTTTGGTGAGAAGTCGTACGCCGAGTGCAGAAGACGGCGACTACCACCACTATGACAATGGTGATCACTCCAACAGACACTATGATGACAAGGAGCATGTTGCTGTCTAAGGGAGAAGTAGGACTTCCGTGGGGACTGTTACTGCCTGTAAGAGTTTGAGTTGGGAGAAAGGGGTTATTTATTGTACAGAAAAAATTCCCATCAAAAGCAAACAGTGCCCATCACAGACTTCTCCGAATCATACAGATTAGCAGAATGAGAAGGATGATTTGTCTGCTAGGAATTCAAGCGAAGTGCTTGCTTACTTTTTGTCATTTGCCAACTGTGTTTCTGTACAATTGTTAAATCCATAAGGTGCTTTATAAGCCCATCTCCAACTAATTGTCTATAAAAATCTATGTTCACCCTACTCCAATAGTTGTAAAAAAATGCAATAGCTTAGAGTCTAAGCAGAGTTAACCTGGAACCTTGCTAAAACTACAGCCCCACAGGCACACCCTTGGACCTAATAATCACGTGAACTGGTGTCATTCTCCAGCGTTCACTGTCCGCTGAAAGGAAACACACTTTATGTAACACTAATGAGCGCTGCCTTAGGGCAAGGCATCCTCAATGCACAGTGCTAATAAGGAGAAGGAGTTAAGACGATTGTTTCCTTCCTGGTATGTTCTTACTGAATTTTAATTTTACACTTGTGCACTATAGCAGCCATTTAAAACTAAACTGGAAACAAGATCTGCTTATCCACTGAAATGTAAATGCACGCAGTGCTGTTTTTTCCATGCGTCCCACACAGTAGGCGAGAACACTCCGACAGAACCATGATACGATTTCTGGAGTGGGAACAACTATCATCATAAAGAGAAAAAGTTACTGCAGCAGATGTAATTGGGGCTGTAAACAGTTACTATTTTCAGTAGGATACATCAAGAGACCTGCACAGAAACCGAAAAGGTTTACAACAGCACTTACCACCAAGTGGTGGTTTGTAATCTGGTCCTATGTCCACCGGGCGGCTTCCTTTCCCCGCAGATCCTGAAGCTGAGAAGGTCACACACGTGGTAATTTTATAGACACATATATACACACACGCATCAGCGCACACTTCAGCCTAAGGTGGCACTTTCAGAACTTCTCTGAACCACTGGGAGCGTTTTTTTCTCCTTTTCTCTCCCCTACAACATGATTTGAACCGCAACCGTGTTTCTCCAAGAGAACCACTTCTTCTACAGAGCTCTTTAATTAGTTTCCTGTGCTACTATTTTCCTTAGTAAGCTTAGGAGCCTCTACTAGCATTAACGTTAAAAACTGTAACAAAAATTCTTTGCACTAATACACAGGTATATAATAAAGGAAATGGCTTTGCCACACTTGTGCAGAGAGTTAACCATCTTGAAACGGTAATGATACAGGTTTCTTTTCCTAATACCCAATGACAGTTGAGTGTGGACGACTGGAAATCAGCAGAGGACTGGAAGCACTCTAAGTGTAATACTATGCCCCTGCCTATCCACAAAACCCCACTTTCAACTTCTCCCCATTCTTTTCTGCTTGTTTCATCTTTTCCACAAGTGACAATTGAGTATCACAATAATGTTTGGGGTTTTTTTGGGGGAACCTTGGAAAACCAATTAATTAGTTTAAAACTATTTTGTTTATAGGATGACAGCGGAAGTAAACATATCTCTACGCCTGTTATTACAAACTGAGGCAAGTTACACCGCCCCCCTAGAACCTTGGCTACTACTAGTGGGCTCCTAGGTGCTAAATGCAAGAGCTGACCTACCAACTGAAATGCCATCCCTCTTTTTACTCTAACAAGTACTTCCCCTTGCATAATTCAGGTCTAATTTAGATCGCTTGCTGCTGCAGCAAGAAGGATGAAGTCACAAGTTCACCTCTAATGTTAAGACCTCTCCCGAGTTAGCAGAAAGCTTTCTGCAGATAATGATATACAAAACCCTGGTTCTTTTACTTCTGTGTTTTCATTAAAATGAGCTAAGGCAAAATTATCATGAATGATAAAAATACCGTAGAAGGGGAAACATACAGCAAGATGCATAAACCAACATTCCTCTTGTTACAGGAATCCATAATACTTTGCAGATTTTAACTGTTATGCACAAAAAGTCAAAACCACAAAAAACACAGTAGTCTGCAAATACAGCAGTTTTACAGTCAGAAGAAGGATTTTCTCTGTTAAAAATCCACTCCAGTCAAGAAGTACTAAGTGTTAAAGGTTGTGTAAAGAATGGAACTTGTGACCCGAAGTCAAAGCCTGTAAATTAGTCACTGTGAAATACAGACAGTTGCTAAGAACAGCAAAAAGTACCAGTAAGAATATGGATTAAGCCCCATGAAGTATAAGGAATATTACACATAAACAGTGAGGAGTTAGATGTAGTCTAAAATAATGAAAAAGATGTATTGCAGGACAAATCTGTAATGAGAAAGACGTATTGCACCTTCCAGTCTAGAGAGGACGCTGCCTTCAGTGAAAACGTGTGCTCTTTTCAAGTACTGGTCTAATAATTTTGCCAAAACAATGAAATAATTCAACACAATTTTAGACAGCTTGCATTTAATAAATGGGCAGCTGTATGACCAGGTAACTTGCACTGAGAAGACATGAAAACCCCTAGATGAAGATGTGCTGGAGCACCAGAGAAGCTGCAGGACAAAGGGGAATAAAAATCACTGACAGTATTTTAAAAGGACAAATAGACTCTCTGAGCATTTTTAGTGCAGCAGCTGGAGGCTTAACACAGGCAAGATCATGGAAAAGGTGATAGATAGGAGATGGTGGTATCGTTTATGCCCATCTTTCTGTGTTACTGAAAACAGGTCTTTTCGAGCAAACTGAATGTCAGACTATAAATTTGGTTGGTAACAGTAACTATGCAGATGAACTATGTTTAGACTTCCATAAAGCATTTTACTGAGTACTGTACAATGCTTTGTTAAAAATAGCATAATAAAAAAGCAATGTGGCACATATTAACAAGATTAACAGCTAATTAACTGATAAGAATAAGAATTATAATTGCAGAATCATTATTCACGAGGGATATTTCTAATGAGTTCTGCAAAGGCCTGTGCTTGGCCAAGTGTAATTCAATATCCTTAATAACACCGTGAAAGAAAATTAAAATAATTGCTACTGAAGTTAAAAGATGACATAAAATAATGGAGTAGATAGTAAGATATACAAAGCCACCTGCACAGACCAACGGGGATCACGTGGTACCCATGGGTGTAACACCCTGAGTCGGTGCGGTTTGTCCTGGGGCCTGCGCTCCCCGAACATCGTACGTACTCGCACAGCCAAGTGCGGATTTTATATACCCCCCCATATGAGTGTGTGTACGTGACAAAGTATAGGCATCATTCAGGGGATAAAGAAGTTGGAAGGCAGTGATTCGGAGAAAGCAGTACTCTGGCAAGCAGTCACATTTCCAAAGGGTGTAGACATCCTTGGGAATGGCTACCTGTGCACAACGCCTGCAGAGCGCGGCAGCTCAGGGGGCCTTGACGCTGCCACTGACTGCGCCGTGTCTCCACGTTTCCGAAAAACAGAAGGAAACGACGAGGTACACAGTCCAGTTTGCAAAATACCACGACATTTAGGAACGTAATCAAGTGGCTAGTCAGTATCTAATTCCCAAACCCAGCCATCAACAGTTTAGCCTTTAAATTCTGGGGAGCTTGTGTCTTGTGTAGCGCATGCTGAAAGATGACTGACTCCTCCCTGCAGTTTACGTGGCACAGGGACCAGAACTCATGGCCTCACTCAGCAGCAGCTGGTCACAACAGGCAGCACAAGCCCTGCTTCTACACTCCGTGCTCGGAACAAACATATGCACAGGTGCATCTTCTGTGTGGACAGCAGCATTTTGTCCAGCACCTTACGAAGTTTGTGGCTGAGGTTTTCCATTTCCTTGATACGAAGGAACAGTTTAAGATCACATTTACGTGAAACTGGTTTTCAGTTTGTCAATCTCCATGCTGCCCATCTGCAGCCAGACAACAGATGTTGACTTGGCGTTGGTTTTACTAGGAGTAGATACCTTAACCTCTGCTTTTGCCCTAGGCCGGTGTGCTCCCTGAAGCCTGACAGCAGCAGCCACCCAGACAAGCTCTGTGCTGTGGAAGCGGGTGGGAGAACAGTATGGTGTGCTTCATGCAGAAGAAAAACGTTAAGGTAGGGGAGAGAAAAAAAGAACAACTAAGACGAGAGAGTCAATCCCACTGTAGGTTTGTTCCTTCCAGTCTCAAATAACCTGTCTGCCATTTCCTGAAGGCCACAGTTCTGCAGTTTAGTGACCTTGTCACAGAGCAGGCTTTTCTGCTCTTCAGATCGTCTTCTCCTTCTCCACATTGAACCTACTGCCATCATTTCTAATCTCCAACTGTTCTTACAGGGACACTGAAACCAAAGCCTTGGGGTTTATGTAGTTTTATGATTTAATAAATCATATAATTTGATAAATACTAACCAAATCGTTACTAGAAGACCATGTTACTTTAGGATGGTAACGACAGATGAGAAGATTTAGTTATCTGCTGAAATGAGGTTAGAATAGTGCAGAAGAGAAAACGGCAACTTTTAAATAAAAGCTTTTAATCTTCCCTAGTCCCTTCCGCTTGCAATTGAGCAGTAATGATGACACGGTGAGCATCTGCTTCCCCACAGATAGCCTGAGTCTCACCTACCATCTCCGTTACACAAGTCTGGATATGAATTTACTCCATAACTGTCTACTATCAGCATTAGTACACAGAAGGTAAAAGCATATTTAATAAATTACTTCTAAGTAAGAAGTTGAAAAGCAAGTAAAAAAAAGCAGCAGCTCCTTCTCAACCCCTTTAGGATCTATTTAATTGTATGTCTAAGTTGCTTGCCAATGTCCTTTTAAACTCATCCCTTTAGACTAATTCTTCCCCTTTTATTGGGCTTGTAGGTTATGTGGAAGAAAGCAAAAATAGCCCTGGGACATTCACCTTATAATTCAATGTAGTAAACTCAAAGGTACCATTTTTCAAGCTAGCATTTTAAAACCTTAAGGCTTTTAGTAGCTAATGCGGTGCTCTTCAGGAGAGCCTGGAGTTTAAATGAGCTGACAAGCAGAATCTCTTACAAAAAAGCTTTCTAGAGCAGACATACTTTCCTTTATTATGAAAATAATTATAGATGTAGAGCTCACAAAACAGCACTTGTGCTAATTAGATAACTGTTTGATCTTCCACCTCTACGTACTGAGATCTTGCTTCAGTGGGCAGAGGCTGGCTGGAGTATTCGCTTAATCCAAATTCATTTTGACAGAACGATTCAGCTCTGGCACAACCCACTTGTCCCTTCATGCGACATCTGACTACAGAGATCACTTTATATTCCTAACACCCAAACCACAGACAGGACTTCCAGTTCTTCCACTATGAAAAGCACAACAGGAACGTGCTCATTTACAGTTAGAGCAGCAGATACGTGTTTCACGTAGGAAATACAACGGCACGTAGACGGGAAAAACAATGTGTGAAGGATGGAATGAAAGAGAAAGCGTGGCTATTCATTTACCTTGATCATTAGGCATTTTATCTGAGGATTCAGCTAGTGGGACAAGCACAGGGAAGGAAAAAAGACAAGATCAGAAGGCTTGAAGGAAAGAAGAGACAGAATTTAAAGTTTCACACAGCATAAGTACACCAGCTAGAGCTCTCATTCCTTACCACCAATATTCACATGGAGCAAGTACTGTTAGAAAATCTACTCACAAAACTTTCTATTTTTCACCCTTCCTAAGAGTACATTTTTTTCCAAGCGATCATGCATACGTACTGTTTCGCTAGTTACCCATCAGCAAGCATTCTTGATTTAAGAGCCTGCGGTGTCACACCGTTTCCCACTGTGTCATCCCAGTCCCTGGTGAGCAGTTGTGTGCTGGCTACCAACTCCAGAGCCCGCGGCTCTGTAGCACTTCATCCTGAGCAGGCGTGACACACAACACCTAGACCTTAAAGCAACTAAAAATGGTTTTCTAAACAGCACATTTAGGACATCGACCCTCAACATTAATCACTAGATGACCTAAGTGCCCACCAGCAATTTTGACAGAACACAGTTCATCAAACAGCTGAACGAGATTGGCATGTGTACTAACTTCATGAGAGAGCAATCCAATAGAAAATTTCTAGTCAAATTCTAGTCAAGCTCCATTGTCTTCCTGTCTTTTCCAGTTTAAATATAAAATTCATGCTACTGATATCCCTATGGATTTGCATTCAGAAAACCAGGAGGAATATCTTTAGATATACGTGATGCTTTACCTTTTGGGGTTCTGAACTGAACGGCCTCAGACATAGGCCCCATGCCCTTCGAGTTGCGGGCCTGAATTTTGAAATAATATGGCGTATCAAGGGTCAATTCTTGTATCTGATGGGTCAGCCTGTTTCCCACGACGGGCTCAATAACCCAATCATGTATTTCGGCATTCACATCCGTGCTGTAGTAAATGATGTATCCTAGTCACAGGATAAAACAAAATAACTTCATACATCGAAGAACAGGACAGTCATATCTACTGTTCTACTGACTTCAGTGATGTTTGCACAGCTAAACGATTATGGAGTTTCTGAAAGTGTATTCTTGCTTTTCCAAAGACTAAGAACGCATTCAAATATTAGACAGCCTTCCCACATTAAATTTTAAACTGTTGAAAAATACGTGTGAAGAGGAAAAAAGCCATTTAAAATACCAAAATCATCTTTGAACACTGTTCATTAAATACGAAAAAATTCCTTGTTTTCATCTCTTTACCTGTTCGTGCACCAGGTAATGTAAAATAACATCAAGCTCTTGTTATCAAAACATCCTCAAAGTATTAATATTCATAGAAAATTGTTAACATTAAACAAACAAAACACTCATGCACAGCTGAAGAACACGTGTTCAGCAGTTTATAATTATTTTCTTATTTTTCAGTTTATTAGCAAAGTTGACAACAATCCAAGAGAACTGAAATTATCTTGCACGCCGCAGAAAGAAGGTATGGGAAGTGTTTATGATTTGTTGTTAAATATATTGCATATACCAATCAATACGAAGTAAAAGCCTTATAATCACATTTGTTACGTAAGAAACACAGAGCCCCAGCATTAAATAAATACATGCAGAAATATAGGGTATGGTCGTCAGATGCTTCCTGCACAGCTTGCTGCTTCCCTTGTCCCACAGACCAGCAGTCTGTGGGCTACACTAAGACCAGGGGAGATGTTCTCCAGAGTGATTTCCACTTTTTTTTTTACATCAACTGAAAATGCTGCACATACCCCAAACTGACATACTTCGCAGCAACCAGAACGGCATGGAGGGCGACATGTGAAACACCAGGCATATGCTGGCATGCTTACTTTCTTCCCTGGCTACTTGTACAGGTCACAAAGCAACACATTTGTAACTTGTTTAAGAAGGGACAAGTATGTATAGGTATGTATATATGGTAACAGTTAGAAGGACTGTAGCCATTACAGAATTTTTAAACTCCAGGATGTTTTTAAACTCTAGTTTATATAGTATATGTAGTATATGGCACAAGACTACAGAATTAATTTATGACTGTACTAATTAGTCAGCAACCACTAACGATGCACATGCATCTGGCATCCAGATTAGCCCAGTTCAGCATTTCACATCCATCCCATCCACATCGAACGGAGATGAGAGCTGAAATGCCACAGACATGCTATCCAGCGGGTGGAATGACATCATCACTTGGACTGTACGGCGTGGCTGGATGCACAGAACCAAGCGAGCGGAGTTAATGAGTGATTACTGGCGTAGTAAGCCGCTCTCCCACTTGCCGGGGCTCTCCCCACCAGAGGGCACTCAGCCCACAGCCCTGCCAGCTCCTGCTTGTTTGTGGGCTCTGCGTGACCGCAGAACGATGTATTTTTTAGCTTTCTAGCTTATGCTAAAACTAATAAATACTATACGCTTTCATGCAGCATGTGTGAAGAAGTGTAAGGTTCTCCTTCACAGTACAGACAGTGCAAAGAGACGTTTTTATCTGGGAAATGGAATGTGTGTAATTTTGCTAATCACACTGTGCAAGGAAATGCTGATCTCTGTACATTGTCTCCCCTTTCCCATGTACACACTTGGTGTAAAGGGATAGGCTCATTTTTTCAAGAGCATATGTAACCTGGGGATATTTGTGCCTGACGTTTCACCCCTGTCTGAATGACTCTTGCTGACCACTAGCGACCAAGTCCTTCAACCAGCAGCTAAGATAAAGGCTCTTCTTTCTCCAGACAAACGTTCTTTCCCATACAGAGGAAACATCTTGTTGATAGTAACACAGAACTGGCTTTAGAGCCAATATAAAAAAATATATATACACATCATCTAATGAGCTACATGCATGCAGAGGCATAGAAATGGCTCAGACAGGCATTCTGGTGCAGAGTAAGCTGCTGTCTGTTACTGTGAGACACCCTTGGCAGATGGCACAGCAGAGCAGTGCGCTGGTGTTGTGTTGCACAACCTCTCCTGCCCTGGTGACACCAGGCAGACCGACCTGTTACAGCCACCTCATCTTACCTGCAGCCTTTGGGCTGCTTGCTTAGTGCTTCTTTGCCTTTTAGGGGTCTTCCTTACAGCTTACTTAGAAGTCACTGTAATTATCAAAGGTTAAGAGTCTCCAGTATAGCCTTTTCAGAGGGATCTAATTAGTCTTAGTCCCCTGTCTGGAACCTGGGCTAGAGTACTGCCAGAGCAGATGCTGGCTGGTGGCAGGTTTCAAAGGTTTGATTCTGCACCATAGTTAATTCTGAGAACAAAAGCAAAATCATACACCGCAAGCTATATGCCAAAAAAAGTCTGCTTTAACCCTAAAGCCTGTTGTAAAAAAGGAAAATTGAACTGAATTATTCCAGAAAGCCTTTAGAAATAGGAATCCAAACAGAAATTACGGAAAGGAAACACTAATTATTATTTTGTGTAAAATGATTTATCTATCCTACACGATAGCGATGCAGTTACAAAGGCAAATAAGTTTGCTCCTAGTGATTATGTCAGGGGACTAATAAACCGACTTTAAGTCTGTTCTGTGCCACAAAAATGCCACAAAGATGACAAAAAGCACTGGGATGGAGTCTTCTAAATGAAATACTGATGGGCCAGACACATTATAGATGTATTTCTGGAGGCACGCTATTAGAACAGCACAAGCTGATGAAGGCAAAGGTTATTGAGATACTTCAACTTCCAATTATATTTCTGGTTAGACTCCAATTTCACACTGCAGTTAGTTTATATCTTAATACATTTTTACTAGGTACAAAAGTAAATAATTAATCTGAGCTACTAAAAAGATTGACAAGGAAGATATAGACCTCTTGGCTAGCTCTAGGCTAAATTAAGTGTGGAATGTGTTCACACAGTTATGCAGATCATATTCTGCCGTTAACCAGGAACCTCGTATCTGCTGTTACTGCTCATGCAAACTGCACCTGTAATTTTGCCATTGGCTTCGGATGGAGGCTGCCAGTTAACAATTATTGTCCGAGGCTTTCCCTCTTTGCTCACCACGGTCACGTCTTTGGGAGGAGAAGTAGGAACTGCAAGCAAACAAAACCGAAACTGTTAGAAACAGGTTGCCCAATTTCACCGGATATAAACAAGTAACCTCAGCACCTTTGCGTTTTTATTTGTTTTACCATCAGAAGGCGGCATGTACCATAATAAAAACTCTGAAGGCCCAACCTTCAAATAAATCTACCATCCTAGTTCAGTGATCTTACTGATTTACTCCATTCAGCTGGCAAATGGCACCTGGTGCGCAGCATCTCCCTCCCCTAAGGAGTTACCTGCTTCTAACGCTTTTCTGTCAACAGATGCTGTGATTCAGGACTGAATGAATCCATGTGTCTTCAAAAACACGGCATCTTCGTACAACTCCAGCAGCTGGGGCGAACGACTTCTAATCTGAATTTCTTTGGCCGTCATGAAAATTGCATGAACTTGTGAAATAAATACATTTTACATGCACAGGCATTTGAAATATCTCCATATTTTTGGTTTATGGCGGGACCAAAACCTAGTAATGCTAATTTGCCACTTAAATCTGAATCAGCAAAGTAAATCCAACAGAGATTTAGAATCATAATCCATAATTGCTGATGTACCCTACTGAAGAATTATTTGTAATTTGCAAGGCAACCTGCACCACAGAAGCATTTGAAAGCCAGAAACATTTGCTTAACGCATCTGTCCAGCCTTTTTCCTTGGGTTGCCAGAGAGCAAGATGGAGAGAAAGAAAGCAGGGGAGCGCTTCTCTCTCCCATCAACCTCCTCCTGCCTAAAATTCAGGAAATGGCAAAAGTTGTTCCAGCAAAAGACTGAAATCTGAGACCTTTCTCGCTGCGAACTACACTCTCCAGCTGGGGCTTAGATTAATGGCTTTCAAATGCACGGAGCCAGAGTCTCCAAAGGTGCATCAACCAGCCACAGTTTGCAGTAAGACTTCTGATTAGGTAACTTTTAGCAAAATAAATCCTCCTTGAATGTTCAGTACTGTAATAGTAACATTTTGTGCTTACTCAGTGCTTTCTGCATTTCCAGAGCTTTATGTATATCACCTCTTAGAAATGAACCCATCCAGCCGTCCTCTGAGATGGCTCTATTATTTATCCCTCTGCAGGATAGCTGGATACTAGGGATAGCAAAAGCTCACAAGTTACTGTAACCATGACCCCAAATACTTACAAACCTGCTCAACAAAAAGGTAAAGCATGATTCAAGGCCCTACGGTAAGCTTCAGAGTTGTTAAAGAAGAGAAGAGATCCGGACCAGCCCTCAGGAGATTACTAATTCACAGACCAACACTGAACCCAGTATCCCATATTCCTCTTCAGCATTAGCTGAGGAGCAGTCCTGTACAGCGCCGCTACTCATGAGTATTCCTGAATATTGACTCACGCACTCAGGAATTTGGTGAGTAATATAAATCACAAGATCTGTTATGAGAAAATATATTTAGCCTCTTTTTATTTTTTTTTTCCATTTGCTTCCCAAGCTTTTAAGTCGTGTTTGCAAATATTCTTCACCACCACCCCAACTAGCAATTTACTTTCTAATTAAATGAAATGAGACCTCCTGTGTCTCACCCTTGCTCCTGTACTTTCTGAGTTCCAGATTCACAGAGTGGTAGGGGTTAGAAGGGACCTCTGGAGATCATCTAGTCCAACCGCCCTGGCAGAGCAGGATCCCCTAGAGTAGGTCACACAGGAACAAGTCCAGGCAGCTTTAGAAAGTCTCCAGGGAAGGAGACTCCACCACCTCTCTGGTCAGCCTGTTCCAGTGCTCCGTCACCCTCCCAGGGAAGAAGGGTTTCCTCCTGTTCACGCTGAACCCTCTGTTTTCCAGACAATGGCCATTATTTCTCTTTTCAGAACTTTATTTGTGCAACTTTTGCACACTTTACATGGAATTTGCACCAGAAACAAAGACAATATTTTCAAAAGCAGCTGAAGCTCACAAAGGGTTTATGGGACTTCGAGCTTTCTGATGTTAACCTGTTACCGCTTTTTGTTATTTCTTATTTTAGAATATTTGAATGATCTCGCCAATTCTTTGCCAACTCGATTCTTTTGCTGTATTTTAATTTAGCATAAGAACTACGGGGTAATTTGGACAGGCTCTTTTTTGTCCTTACAGTTAATATAAAAAGAAACCTAAGCTTCACAAGCAGTAAATTTAATTGCACAAAGATCATTTCACAATGCAGGATAAGAAGAGCTAATGAGGGACAGGTCGGGGGGAGAGAGGTTCTGGACCTTGCAGTTACGCAGTGGGTCCAAGTTCCTCCCAGCTGCTACAAACCCTTTTCTGTTCTGTCCTTCTGAGGACATCATTTCGACAGCACTGGGACTG